GGAGGCCAATCACAACGTGACACATGTCAATGTTAGAGGCCAATCACAGTGCGACACGTGTCAACATCAGAGGTCAATCACAGTACGACACGTGTCAATGTCAGAATAAAGCTAGAAACTTTTTTCTATAAAAGGAGATCATTCTCCCACAATAATCCCTAATGTCATTTGTACAATACTACTCATTAGAACTCACTTCTGAGGAGCTTGAACTTATGTATTTGTGTAAACCCTTCACTATTAATGAGAACTCCTCTACTTCGTGGACGTAGTCAATTTGGGGAAACCACGTACATCTTGTGTTTGCTTCCCCATCTCTATCCTTTACATACTTATCCTCACTAGTGACCAGAGCAACCAAGCTAAAGTCACAAACTTGACACTTTCTGTTGTACCAAAGTCCTCGCTGATTTTGTGTATAAACATTTGGCGCAGTCTGTGGGAATCACACTTATTCCTACTCTCTTCAGCTTTGTCAAGCTGGTTTTCCACCATTCGTACACTTTCATTTGACCAGGCATCCCTCTCGAACATGGGGAGCAAAGGAAGCCACAACACACAGAACGACACCCCTCTCGCGCTTAGTGCAAGGTAGTGAAAGAAGGAACGAAAGAAGTTTGCTCTTCAACCTAAAGTCAAAGGGCTAGAAGCTTAAAACAACAACATAGTAATGAAGAATGAGGTGCTCCATGAGTAATATGAGAAGCTCTTCGAGATGCTCCACGAGGCTAGGCATACTCAAACACACGAGCTCATCGCCCCTGTAGAAGTCAACCGTCATCTGGGTGCCCCCCAACACGAAGGGTTACCAGTCTTCAACATAGATATTCCTGATGAGGAGCTAGTTACTCATCAATATGTTAATCAACATAAAACTGCCCTCAACCTAGCTGCCTCGACTCGAAGCAGGAGAAGTGGAGGAAGACACCTCTTTGTAGAGGGAATGGAAGGATCGAAAGCTGTTTATCGCAACTGTGAGGACTTCCTAAGGCAACGTTGAGAGAACCCCATCCACATAAGCTCAAAGATCAATGACCCAAGGGTTTCTAAAAGACTCGGTCCCCTACTACAAGCCTAGACTAGCTATCAATCTAGGGAAAAAGCAATAAGTCCCAGAGGAACATAAAGGTATAGGGGACTCAGAGGTCTTACGACAGACACGCCCTAAAAGCCAATACTGTGAGTCCAAGGAAAAACCACATACCTTTGATCAAACTTCCCTACTTCCAAGAAGTGATGGAAACTTACGGAAGAAGGCTCCAGAAGTACATGACTCCACTCAGGACCCCCTTATCCTATAGCTCATTGGGGAAGTAAACAAGTTGAAGGCCGAACGTCAGGCTGAAATACCTGGCTAGAACCAACGCAGGCCCGGGCCTCTTATAAGGAGAATCCTCGACATCTCCCTCTAAGCAAAGACAAAGCAAAAGCTCAGCTTACAACTATGTACTGGAATGGAGGATCCGATTAAACACCTTAACCTCTTCAAGTCCACCATGGCATACCGGATGCATACCGATGAAGAATGATGTCTTCTCTTCCCCTCAACCCTCTATGATGGAGCTCTAAACTGGTATTGTCGCCTTTCACCTGAAACGGTAGATTCATTTGAGGAATTAAGAAAACTGTTTGTCTCTCAACACATTTTCCAGATCAAATGCTTGCACTCTATAGATGACTTGTACACTATTCGCCAGAAGCCAAACGAGTCACTATGCAAGTATGTTGGCCGCTTCAACGATGAGTATTCTCATTGTGCCGAGGCAGATGACAAGACTGCCCTCAAGGCCTTCACGGCGTGCCTACGTGACTGTTTCTTTAAGTACATGATCAATGCCAATACTTAGAAAACTTAGGCCTGGTTTGGTACTAAGGTGATTCTGAAAAAAGCTGGTATAAAAAAAAGCTGGGAGCTTTTTTGTGTTTGGTAACATTCAGTTTCAGTTTTTTTCATAGTTTTGGGTGGAAAAAAAAGCCAAAAACAAGAAGCTGCAAAATCCATCTTTGAAAAACCGACTTTTTTTTACATTTGTTTTACATAAAAGTTTAACAAACACTATAATATTGCTTTTTTTTTTTTTTTTTTTTTTCAAAAGCACTTTTACAAAAAAATTTACAAAACACTTCGCTACTTTATTTCACAGCTGCTTATTCTCACAGTATAGCAGAATCAGCTTTTCTTCAAAGCACAACAATATCAAACCAGCCTTACTATGAGGTGATGGCACATGCTTACAACCACGCCAAAGTAAGGACGTACCAAGGGAAACGCTCTACAACTATTCCTTATCAACAAAAGGGAAGTAAGAGTCAGATTCAACCAAGTGAGAAGACTTCAACCTTCCAAACGGCTGTGGCATCTCTCCCTGTCTTACCTAACGCTTCACCAGGACAGCAAACATATCAATCTCAAGGCAAGAGGAAGGATTTCAATCCTCAACAATCTCATTTTAGTAAAAAAAGTGAGGGACACTATCGCGATAACCAGAGGTATCGCTACAATAATGCCCGTCTTCAGACAGTCATGCAATGGGCCAAGTAAAGGTCAAGATAGGCCTTACCCGAAGGTACGAGACATACACACCTTTGAATGCCACATGCATGGCCATTTACCCCAGTATAACTCACTTGATACCAAAGCTAAAGTCGAGGCAGCCAGATTATAAGTCAATGAAGAACACAGCCTTGTTTTGCTGTTACCACGAGTATAACGGACCATAACAACGAGAAGTGTATCATCCTCCATGACCATATTGAAGCTCTGGCACGCGAAGGAAAAATTGATCAATTCTTTCTTTACCCTCAAAAGGATAACCGTAACCAATGCCAAGTGAACGTGATATAATTTATAAACGGTGGCATACCCTCTCTGAATCTTCCAACAGGGCAATGAAAAACAAAACGAACGAACTTTGAAGCCTGGCCACCAAGTGTTTCACGTGGAATACATCAAAGGAGGCAAGCATCAAAAGCCTAACTAGGATCCAATATGTTTTTACCCTGAGGAGGAAAAAGGTATCATCTACCCTCACAGCGACCCAATGATCATAATCGTGGAAGCTCACATAGCCAATTTTGATGTGCGACAGATCCTTGTAGACACATGTGCTTCCGTCAATATCATGTTCGTCGAAGCTTTCAGAGCACTTAATGTAGCGGAACACTTGCTCGATTCCTCAATTATTCCCCTGCTATGCTTTTCCGATGATATCGCGCAACCTTTAAGGAGCATACACTTACCACTCACCTTTGGTACAGGCCCTTACATATCTACTATTGCCACTAACTTCCTGGTGGTCGACTGTCCAACGACATATAATGTCATCTTTTGGCGCACAGGCATCAATGATTTCAAGGCCATGATATTCACACATATGTTGTTGGTGCATTTCCAACCCCTTCTAGCGATGGTTAGATCAGAGGAGATTAACTTAGTGCTTGATTAAGTTACAACACTTCAGTCAAGCAACAACATCTTCTTGTGCCCAAGGAAACCTTCTCTATACATGACCAAGTCATAAAGACCAGCCCAGATGAAGCCAACTTGGATCTTCATGACGGCAACAGTTAACTCGACGATCCTCGAGATGACTCTTTCACCCAGCAAGCACAACCCGCTGAAGAGTTGGAGAATATCTTTATCTCCAAAGACTATCCAGATCGCATGGTGAAGATTGTCACCACCCTTTTAGTTGTCATTGATGTCTTTTTTGCAAGAGAACGCCAAAGTCTTCGCTTGGTCATACAAGGACATGCTAGACATCTCTTCCGATATCATCTGTCATCGCTTGAGTATTGATCCCAAGACCAAGCTAGTGAGACAGAAACGAAGATCTTATGACGTTGAACTATACGAGGCAATGAAGGCAGAAGTTGAAAAACTCAAAGACATAGGCTTTATCCGTGAAGTCAATTACCCAACATGGGTGACAAATGTTGTCCTTGTTAAGAAAAATCCGACCAAGGAAAGTTTTCGGTTTCAAAAGATCTTGTGGAGAATGTGTGTCGACTACACTGACCTAAATAAAGGATGCACGAATGATAACTTTCCCCTTCCTCTCATTGATAGACTTATCGACTCAACGGCAGGGTATGAACTCCTAAACTTCATGGATACTTACTCAGGGTATAACCAAATCCTCATGAACCCTCCGGACCAAGAACACATAGCCTTCACTACTGACAGGGGATTATATTGCTATAAAGTCATGCCCTTCGGCCTAAAGAATGCAGTGGCGACTTATCAAAGATTAGTCGATTCAATGTTCACCGAACAAATTGCGAAGAACATAGAAGTTTATGTTGATGATGTGCTAGTTAAGAGCAAACATGCTGACTAACATATCACCAACCTGTCTGAAACCTTCACCATCCTGAAGAGGTATCAAATGAGGTTGAACCCCAACAAATATGCCTTCAGCGTGGGCTATGGCAAGTTTTTGGGCTTCATGATTAGCCAATGAGGCATTGAAGCCAACCTTGAGAAGATCAAAGTAATCCTTGACATGAAAGAACCAGTAACTTCAAAAGACATCTAAAGCCTTACTGGTAAGGTGGCAGCTTTGACTAGGTTCATCTCTAAGGCCACAGACAGATGTGTTCATTTGTTCAAAGCACTTAAGGGAAGTAAGAAGTGCATTACATGGACTGATGAATGTGCCGAGGTATTAAAGAACCTTAAGGAGTCCATGAATAAAGCCCCTTACTCTCCAAACCTGAAGTTGGTAACATTCTCATTATCTATCTATCTGTTTTGGCGTCAGCCGTCAATTCTGTTCTCATTTAAAGGGATAGTAGTGTCGAACGGCCCGTCTACTACGCTAGCAAGGCCTTACAAGATGCAGAGACACGATACTCCAACATTGAGAAATTAGCTCTAGCATTGGCCATGTCTGCTCGAAAACTACACCCTTACTTCCAAGCATGAAGTACATTTCATCGTCGTGCTTACTAATCATCCTTTTCGACAAATACTTCAGAGTCCTGACACTTCAGGATGAATGATAAAGTGGGCAATAGCATTGGGTGAGTTTGACATTTCCTACCAACCAAAGCCAGCGGAGAAGAGCCAAGCAGTTGCCCATTTCATCGCCGAATTCACATATTCTGTAGACATTTCTCCTAAGCCTGAGGCACTGGCTTCATTGCCCTCAGAAGCTGGGAAAGTAAAACCAACTTTCCCAGTATGGACTCTGTATGTTAATGGTTCATCCAACCAACAGGGTTGTGGAGCAAGATTAGTCATCATTACACCCGACAAAGTGGCATTGGAGTATGCTTTCCGTTTCAAATTCAAGGCGTCAAACAATGAGGTTGAGTATAAAGCCCTTCTACTAGGCTTACGTTTGGCATAACACCTTGGAGTTAAACAAATTGATATCTTCAGTGACTCCGAATTGGTGGTTAACCAGGTCACGAACAACTTTGATGATAAGGATAACTTCATGGCAGCATTTCTTGCACAGACACAACTTTTGCTCAAGTACTTCCACTACCAGATCACCCAAGTTCCTCGAGTAGCAAACAGTCATGCATACGCCCTGGCTCGCCTCGCTTCAGCAGTTGAAGACAAGATCGGAAGAAAAATTCATGTTGAATTGTTGGCAGCACCGAGCACCATGGTTGTGGAAGTGTGTCACTTACAACAAGAGGATAGTTGGATCACCCCAGTTTATAAATTCCTTGCTCATGGCACCTTCCCAAATGATAAAGTCCAAGCTAAGCAAATTCGATACAAGTATACCCGCTACCTGATCATTAATTACTAACTCTACAAGCGGGGTTTTAACCTACCATATTTAAGGTGTCTTACACTTGCAAATGCGGAAATCGTCATTCAAGAAATACATGAAGGAGTCTGCGGAGATCATGCTGGATCTAAGTCCCTAGCATACAAGGCTTTTGGCCAAGGATATTATTGGCCAACACTCCACCAGGATGCCATCAAAATATCCCGCTCATGTGACAAGTGTTAACGCTATGCAATTATTCCTCACTCATTTCCGGAGCTTTTCACTCCTATAATCAGCCCTTGGCCTTTCACCCAGTGGGGACTTGATTTGATCGGCCCAATGTCTATGGGGAAGGGCAAGGTCCGTTATGCAATCGTTGCAGTTGACTATTTCACAAAGTGGACCGAAGTAGAACCCTTGACAACCATTACTAAGGCAAATATAGAAGACTTCATATGGAAGAACATCCTTTGCAAATTCAGCATTCCCAATGCAATAGTCACTGACAATGGGTGACAGTTTGACAATAAAAAGTTCAGGATTTTCTGTTCTAAGTTCAACATCAACTTATGTTTTGCCTCCCCAGCTCATCCTCAGGCTAATGGGCAAGTTGAGGCCATCAACAAGATGATCAAGCGCACTTTGAAGACCAACTTGGATAAGGCTAAAGGCTATTGGCCAGAACTTGTACCCCAAGTTCTTTGGTCATATCGTACTTCGTATCGGACTTCAACAGGAGAAACTCCATTCTCGCTTGCCTTTGGTATAGAGGCAATTGTCCCAATTGAGCTTGAGCAAGCAACACACCGAGTCCAGAACTACATGCAAAGTGAAAATAAGAAACAACTCACCCTCAACTTGGATCTAGTCGAGGAACACAGAGATCAGGCTCACTTGAGGAACGTTGCTTACAAGCAGCGCATTTCTAACTACTATGACTCTAGGGTCAAACTTCATTCTTTGAAAGTGGAGGACCGGGTATTAAAGAAAATACTACTTTGCAATAAAGTCCCAAGCGAAGGCACACTCAATCTAAACTGGGATAGACCATTTGAAGTTGTTAGCATCAGTTGCCCTAATTCCTAAAAGCTTAAAAGCTCTGATGATAAGACCATTGGCTATCCATGGAACGTTGATCACTTGAAGTACTATAACAAGTAAACTCACATTGTACAAGTGTTGAGCTATAGTCGTTCGGCATCCTATGTAATGAAGGCCATTTGGCTTGAATTTAATAAAGAGATGATTTAGACAACTCGGTCCTAACTCTTTTACATTCCTAGTAATGAAACACTCGGGTTTAAAGATTTAACATGAATGCTTCCAACATGAAATAAAAGTCTAAGTATATGTCAACAAGACTATACAAATAAACGAACAGCTTTACTGTGTATTTGTTTAATCAAACCCAAGTCATGGCTTATATCCAAACAATAGATCTATTCAAACATAGTCAAGCATTCATAAATGATAGTGCAAATACTTGTCAATTAACATCAAAATAGACGATGCAATGTCATAAACGTGCATAAACAAAAAGCCCTCAGACTCATAACTTAATACATGCCATGCAAACAACTAACTAGTGCATGCAGAAAATGAAGGCAGTACAAGTCATCCTCATTTGAAGTGGAACCCCTGACAATATCACTCTGTGTCTCACCGCCATCGCCATCACCATTATCCTCAGCATCTCCAGGATCATCCTCACCCTGCTGAGTCTGCTCATCAACACTGGCCTCATTCTCAGACTCCTCTTCACTACTAGGATTGAGTGGGAAGACGAAGTTTTCACCCTTTTGTCGATACTTCTCCATCTCATCATTGTACTTATCAATGATGTTTCCATCGTCATAGCACTCAAGGATGGCCATCTATTTTTTTTTTTTTCCAGCTGAACCTCCCGAGTGCAGTGAGGTCTAACGTTATAGCGAAATGCCTGGGAACTTAATAACTCTTACACAACAGTTTCCCTCTCAGTTGGGATACTCGCTTTCAGCTTAGAAACCTCTACCAAGGCACTATCCAACTCCCATTTGACCTTAGATGCCTCGAGGATAGTCACCTCTAACTCTTTCTTGAGCCTTAAGTTCTCACCATTTTGTCTCGTCAACCCCTCAAAGGTTTGATCCTTGAGTTGGACAACCTCAATCAAAGCTTTGCTCTTATTCTTGGCGTCATCCATAAACCGTTTGTTCTCTTTAAATTTCGCCTTGTACCGCTCGACCTCTCGTAGTCTGTCATCGTACTCAATCATGACCTACATGATAAGATGATCATCATTAACAAAAAAATGAGGAGAAAGTAAGGAAATGACAAAGTAACACTTACATAAGAAGATAGCCTCATCATCCGGTCACGATTTGATTCATTTTCAGCTAGCGGCTCCCCGAGCTCGTCAACAGTGGATTGGCGCCCTGCCAAGTAATTATTGACATACCTAAAACTATTTGGCTACATGGCAAGTCATTCCTAGGAATACTGCCAACTTCTTCCTTGTACTTCTTCTTGTTGCTGGAGATAGGGTCACTTTCCTAGCCGGTGAACTCTATGATTGGAGGAAAGATGGGATCGATAGTAGAAAGATAAGGGAACAACAGCTTTTCCTCCCCTGCAACAATGGCAGCAGCACATTCGATGGCCTTAGCTTCAGCCTTCTTTGAGGCAACAATCTTAAGGACCTCATCTTGCGACTTAAGTCTATGGACTGGTTTCACCTGGTGCTTGTGAGCTCCCTTATGAAACAGAATATCGTATACGGGAACTAACATGGGTGTTTTCCCTTTCTTGGTGCTAGTCCCCCCTTTCTTGCTCACCTTCTCCACTGAACAAGGAAAATCAAAGTTAGGAATACAACTTTATATTAAAAAAAATAAAAATAAAAAAGGGTCAAATGAAGGATACGACTTACTCGTTTGTCTCTGGCACTTGGAAACTAGGGGCTGGAATCCGTACTTGTGAAACAAAGGTCGTAGCTTGCCTAAGTGTCTATTCTCTTTTGGCACCCTCAAAACCTTCTCTACATTGGCCAACTCTCGTTCGGACAGTTTGATGGTGCTTCGTGTCACTGCATGAAGAAAAATGTTAGAAGCAAGTATAGCAAACCATCGAACAATGGATACATTACAATCTATGGTCTAGAAATGAGTAGGAATACGTCGCTCAGGTGTGACACCCCTAGCAAGCTCCCAATCCTTATAAAGAAAACACTAACGGTTTTTCCAAATACACTACGCCTTTTTCTTACCAAAGACAATACGCTCCCTATTGCTTCAACACGCACACTCGGCATAACCAATGCATGACTTCACCGGACACATCTTATAACAGTAGTGCCACTGATGAAAGGAAGGCTCACCTAATCCACACTCCATCCATATAATATAAATCCCGATCAAGGTATCCAGAAACCAGGATTAAGTTGCCCAAACGGTTATCCAATGAGAGATAACATATGTTGCAACCATGGGTGCAAGGGTAGCTTCACCCCTAAGGTCACTAGTATCTGGGTGCAGAACATAACGTGACCCTTGGGTGGTTCAGTGAGTAATTCTTCATAATGCACCAAGCCCATTCCTATACTACGGGGTATATTACATGATTGCCTTAGGACCTCAAGCTGTTTTTCACTATCTAACAAGTTTTTATCTAAATGGTCCGATGTGAACTCAGAGCAAAATATGGGTATGGCGTCAAGAGCAAACCCTTCACCCACTGACATGAAGGAGGAAGAACCAATATTGACTAAGGCTTGATGATTTTGAAGATCATCCAACGTTTCTTTTGTACAAGACTCTAAGAAATGCCCTGAAGACTTTGACATTGTAGGCTCAAACTTAGAGCTAGAGCTAGGGGAGCCCTCGTCACTAGGACCTTTAGGCTCTGACATCTACAACAAACAAAAACAAACTCTATCACTACGTGAAGGACCGAAACTTAAGAAGTTCCTAGGGCATGAGACAAAGCTCAACCAGTTCATCATGTTCTTAGCCAAATGCATGAATACTCAAACAATTCAACAAAAATTAAAGCATTTGATCTAGTGGAGAAGACTACTAACCTGAAGATGGTGCCAAACACTACCGGAATCCCTCTCAACAAGAAAGCATTTTATCTTCAAAAAATCACTACAAAAGGAGCAAATGAAGGCAATATAAAGATTGGAAACTTATCCTTCTTATAGAGTTCAACATGGCCAAAGAAACTCAAATTCAAACCATGAGAAAGCCCCACATGTAAAGCCTTGAGTCCAAAAAATAAAAAAAAATAAAAAGGGAAACCCTGCAGCTTAAACAAATGAAGGCAACTACAAATGTCAAAAGCCTCACAGACTTTTGATCAAGATAGTGTGAAGCAAAACCAATTTATGATGCCCAACAAAGGTTCAACAAATTGAGGGCAACTACAAATGTCACAAGCTTCACACACACTCTTGATCAAGATTGTGTGAAGCAAAACCAATTTATGGCGACCAACAAAAAGCTTCAACCACAAAGCTTCACCTACAAAACTTCAACCCCAAAACTTCACCTACAAGCTTTAACTACAAAGCTTAAAAAGCTTCACCTACAAAGCTTCAACCACAAAGCTTCAACCACAAAACTTCACCTACAAAGCTTCACTAGTAAGACATGTAAAAGCTTCACACTCTTGATCAAGATAGTGTGAAGCAAAATCAAGTTCATGTGTCCTAAAAATAGCTTCAACTATTCAATCTATATAACCAAACACAAAACTTTGCTGCAAAAAATTCACAAAACCGAAGATTCTCTTGAATCTGTACAAAACACACGGGTAAACATAAACATTTTTTGCTTTACATACACAAGGTCCCTATCATAAACAGACATACATGTCCTATTAACATGATAGCTCATTATTTAATATTATTATTATTGCAATGTATGTGATATCACATACCACTACCAGAAAACATGATATCACACCTACATCTATTATTTTATATATATATATATGTATGTGTATGTATATGTATATGTATATGTATATGATTTCAAACATATTATAATAGGTTAAACAACAAGTCAAGATTCCAAGTTTAATGGTGAACAAATATATATATATATATATATATATATATATGATTTCAAACATATTATAATAGGTTAAACAACAAGTCAAAGTTCCAAGTTTAATGGTGGACAAAAGTACAAGGAATTCACCAATGGTGAAGGTGCTACAAAAACTAGAAACTCCCCTAAACTCTTGAACCTCAACAGCAACAAGGGCAAGCTTCCAAGCAACAAATTCTTGCACAGTCACGGCAGAACCAATAAACTATAAGCTTGCAAACCCACAAATTAGCCAGCTCCTTGGCAACCTTCAATCCAGCTACAAATCACAGCTGTTGTCTTGAAAATCAAAGCAGCCACCCACGGTTACACCCTCTGCTCCTTCCACTGCAAAGCAAAGAAGAAAAAATAATAAATAAATAAAAAAGCAATGGGGGTGCTGGCTAGGGCATGGCAAAGGCTGGTATTGGGTCAGTCTTGGGCCTCACATAAAAAGGAGCTGGCCTGACCTAGCAAATAAAAAAAAAGACACAAGGTCAAATTTAAAAGGCCATTGGGCCTATCAAATGCGACAAAGGGAAATGGGTCAAAAAAGAAAGGAAGCACGGGCCTCCTCTTCTTTGGGCCTAACAACCTTCATAAAAAATTAAAAAAACTAAAAAAAAAACATACGGAAAAAAAAAGGGGGGGGTGGTTTGGGCTACCACTTAGAAAATAAAAAGATGAAGTTTTGTTACTTTGGAAACTTGGCTACTAGCAAGACACCTCCTTCCGCAACTCTCCTCGACCAAAGACTTGGGGGACTCTTACTATATGCTACTACACCTCAGTACTTAAAAATTTCACGACTATTTAGTGACTTGGATTTTTCAAGTCCCCAACCGAGAAGTTTTCCTCACTCGGGAAATTAGGAGAACATTGTTTCAACCAAAAGGCTTCACCCACAAAGTTTCAACATACAAGCTTCAACAAAAGAAAAAAATTCAAAAAACTCAGTGAAGTATGCCCTAGTGTATTTAACACAATACGCTGAATGAAGTAAAACTTATTTAT